GGATGTATCGATCATTTATGTGTTTTTGTTTTTTGAAGATTAAAATAAAGATAAATCAATAATAGTTTTAAAAAATAAATTATTTTCATATAATATATCATATCTTAATTTTTGGTGAAATATATACATGATGAATAAGCTGGGTGGAGAAATATATGAAAAGAATTTATACAGCAGTAATTTTATATTTTATAATAAAAAAATAAATTATAGTTTTTATATTTAAAAAAATTAAATAGATAACTATATCAGATATTTTAATATTATTTTTATTTTATATTTAGAAATCTTTTAGTGCATAATATTGTAATTAATTAAAAGTTAAATGTTATTTTATATTTAAAAAATTAGATAGATAATTATTATATATATGCTATTAAATTAAATAACTTATAGTCAAATAAAAAAAATTTAATTTTATATTTAAAATTTTAAATATATAAATTATATTATTATCACATTAAATAGATAACTATTACAAACATTTTAATAATCTATTTTTATATTTAAAAAATCTTTTAGTCATAATTTATAATTAATTAAAAAGTTAAATGTTATTTTTATATTTAAAATAGATAACGATTAGGTATATATGTTATTAAATTAAGTAATTTATAGTCAACAAAAATTAAAATTTAATTTTTATATCTAAAAAAAATTAAATATATAATTATTGTATTATTATCACGTTAAATAAATAAATAAATAAACATAATTTATTTTAACTTTTTGATGTTTAAATTTTTTTTAATGCGTAATTCATAGTAAACTAAAAATTTAATTTATATTTTTATATTTTAAAATTTAATTAAATAAATATTATATATATTATCACATTAAATAAGTAAATAATTATTATATGTTATTGTTTTAATTTTATTTTAACAATTATTCAATACATAACTTTATCTTTAATTAAAAATTAAATAATAGTTTTATACTTAAAAAGTTTCAATAAAACAATTATTACATATATTATCATAAAAATTATTTAAAAATGAGAGAATATATGTGAAAATATTCCGTTTTAGTTGTCTATATTCAATGGATTATATACAAAATATGTAATAATAAATAAATTTAAAGCAGTTTACAGTACAATATTTACAGTAATTTCTCTATTGAATCAAATCGTAGACAACTCCACCGAACCGAAGCAGCCATTTTAGCATCTCCGCAGAACAGAAGGCGAACGGAGACATTTGCGACTTTTGAATAAAAAGATTGGAAGAAAATAAGTGTTGATATTTTTCTTTGGGAAGAGAAATTGAACGGCCGAATGACGTTGGGAGTGACAGCAATCATGGCTCGGAGGCTCTTGTATTCACATTTACCTTCCATGCACGCATCTAAGCTTCTTCTCTCTCGCCAGGCAACGCATCGCTCTCTATCCATATACACACTCATATATATATATAAATCACTTTCTCTTCGGTGTCAATTTGCTTGTCATATTTATCTATCGTGACGAGTTGTATAAATGGGCCAAGTGAAAGAAAGCAATCACGATCTCTAACTTTTTTTCCTGATTTTCAAATAATTTTGTTGATTAGTTAGGTTAGTTGATGTTGATTGTAGTTGTGGGTAAGTGCTGTCAACTATATACATAGATACACATGGATTGGTATTGATTGTTTATTTTTTCGAATTTTGAATGAGGTTTTTCTACATGTTAATGAGTTTTGATGAGATGAAATTTCAAGCAATTAGAACTCTCTGTTTTTCTTTTTTTCTTCTTTTTCCTTATTAAAGCTAGAAAATCTTTTGAGGAAGTTGGATAAGTGTAGTAATGAGTTGATTGGATAACAGATGAGCATGGAGGCTCAAGGAGTTGCTGGTAAGCTCAAGAGTTCTGGTATATTGCGAACTCAAGGTCTAATAGGAGGAAAATGGATCGATGCATATGATAAGAAGACTATCAAGGTCCGTTAGAGTACTTTTTCCGTTTCTTTTTGGTCCTTGTTGTGTCAAATGTTATACATGTGGTCAATGACACGGCAGGTTAACAATCCAGCGACTGGTGAAATCATAGCTGATGTCCCATGCATGGGGGGAAGGGAGACCAATAATGCTATATCATCAGCGTATGATGCCTTTAATTGTATGGGACTCACATTCAGTGATTATTTCTTGTTCTGGTTTCTTTTTCATCTGTGTTGCTTCCATCTTGTTCAACTAAGTTTTATGTCTATTGTTATTACTATTTTTTCCAACAGAAAAAATATTATTATTGAGGGAAAGAAGATTAGGAAACATGGAGGATTAGATATGCTCCTAAAGGAAAAAGAAAAAAAAAAGGAAAATAAAAAGGAGAAAGACCGGCTATTCTTAAAAACGAACAGTTAAGAAATCCCTATGTAACATAGACAGCACAGAATTTTAAAGTGCTCATGCATCCTAGCCCAAAAGGATGCCAAGAAAGACAGCTTATCCGAAATAATCAAAGATAAGGAAAAATAATCCTTGAAGATTCTAGCATTTTTCGCCAGCTATAACAACCACAGTCTTGCAAAAAAAGCCCTGCGCCAATTAATAAGTTTGTTATCTAGTCATTTACTAAGAATTAAAGTTACTATTTTTCCTTACCTTTTGTAGTAGATGTTTTGCAATCCTTATGCTTTTTTATGTCCGAAAAAAAAATCCTTATGCTTTTGTTCTTGCTTTCACACGGTTGCTAGAGTATTTTTTTTTTTTTTTTTTTTTATAAAGTTGTTAGAGTTGAATTATTCTTGCCTTTCTTGAGTATATGAAGATTTCAATAACTACTAATTTAATATTATCTTCAACCTTTGCAGCTTGGAGTAAACTTACAGCTACTGAGAGGAGCAAATGCCTGAGGAAGTGGTATAGCCTTTATCCTGTGATCTTTATGTCTAAGGAAATACCAACAACCCAAATAGTTTTTAGAAAACTCTGTTATGTGCTAAATTTGGTTTTGAAGATTTCACAATGATGATCCTGGAATATCATTTATTTCAGAACATATATGTCTGTCGCAAAGGTGCTTAAATGTGAGTAGCGTGTTAACCTTGTATCATCAGAATTTGTGGACACATTGTTTTGGGAACTCCTCTAAGAATCTTAATGTTTTTTCTACTGCCTTCTATTTAATATTTTTTTTGTCCTTTATCTTTTTGGTACTAAGTTTGTGAAACTTTCAGTTTGACATTTCAGTACTTTGGAAATTTTACCTGTGTATTGGTTCTGTCATGATTCTTTTTCACATCTATTGAAAGGTATGACCTACTAATTGCACACAAAGAAGAGATTGGACAACTAATAACCTTAGAACAAGGAAAACCTTTGAAAGAGGCCATGGGTGAGGTAAACGATTCAAATGCCGATTATAAAGCTCAGCAGTGGATGTTGCAAAGACACTGTATGTCATTGTTATTCATCTTTTTTTATATGCAACATGTGATACTGTGTCTACAAGCTACAGGTTGCCTATGGGGCCAGTTTTATTGAGTTCTCTGCGGAGGAGGCAAAACGTATATATGGGGATATAATTCCAGCGACTTTATCTGATCGTCGGTTGTTTGTACTAAAGCAGGTGAAATTTCTGTTTGTTTGGTGTTCGAAATTTTAGAGAATTACCATCACAAATTAATTATTTCTTCCATTAGCTAGTATTTGGTTGGTCATATTAGTAATTCCTCCCCTAAGATGACTCATTTCATTGGTATACTTCAAACTTTTAAGAGAGAGGGTACGGTATTATCCACCGAAATGTTGACTCAACCACTAATTGACGGTAAGGTGGTTGGGACAACCAACATCATTCTCCAAGCTGACTGAATTGCACAACTAATCACCAGCTCTCTGATCAGTTTGTTCAAGATTGAAATAAAATGTTTTGTTTATTTATTCTTAGCATACATGTTTTTTGAAAATATCAGCTCCCTTTTTGAACAAGTACCATTAATACTTCTTTTTTATCTGCATCGTACTGCCTAAAATTTATTTTGTCTGTTGCCAGGAATTTTACAATTGTGAAAGAATCTGAAATTTAAAATTTTAAAATGATGAGTATTAAATGTAAGCTAACTTCATGAATCATCTGAAATGTGTTGATTTTAGATTCTAATTGATAATTTAAATTTCTACTTTGTCATAAAAGTTGTAAATTCAGTTTTTCCAGATTTATTATTCTGAGCCACCAAGCAATCTCGTTACAGTCATCTGTTTATCAATGCGAGCTTTGTTAATATTTTTCTTGCAGCCTGTAGGAGTTGTTGGTGCCATTACACCTTGGAACTTTCCGTTGGCAATGATTACTCGGAAGGTGTCTGTATAATGATTATTTCAGTTAATTGTACTTTGGTTGTCATAGTTTGGCTTGGAGTGAGTATAA